AGACAGACAGACAGACAGACAGACAGACAGACAGACAGACAGACAGACAGACAGATAGATAGATAGATAGATAGATAGATAGATAGATAGATAGATAGATAGATAGATAGATAGATAGATAGATAGATAGATAGATAGATAGATAGATAGATAGATAGATAGATAGATGTGCCCCGTGCAGTACTAACCCGTACAACGCTGACATTACCTTTATCTGTTGAGGAACTCCCCGACACAACCGTTTCCTTGTCCGCTGACTTCGCCTTACTCGTCTTGCTCTCCCGACTCATTCGACTATTTCGTTTGCTGAAGGAAAGACAGGACAAGAGCCATGAGATAGGCTTCATTGTTGCTCTCCCTTTCTTAAGCATCGTAATTAATCCTAATTTAACAACCCCCTAAAATTTACCTTTTTGGTATACATCTTTTATTTGAATGCCGAGCAATTGGGGGGGGGGGATGAAAATTAGACAAAAACAAGCAAACAGTAAGGCACTTGATAAGAATGCTTATGAGTGTTTCCCCCGGGGCTCGCAACCGCGCATTTTTTTCACGCCCCTGAATTATATTAATACCCACCCGCTTCTAAACAGTAGATTTATTTCCCCTTGAAGAGCACGTAAAACTAATTTATTTATTTATTTTCAGTTCGATAGGCTGACGGGAAATGGTTCAAACAGCCGAAGATTTGGCCAGCCGGTCGGCCGGCCGGTCACGAACAAAAGGGAAGTTAATCTAAAGGAATAAAAAAAAAAATACAACCACCAAAACGACCATTTAATCGCTTAACTTCTACTGGACAAATCCTTGAAAGCCTTTCCAATAGCGTTGTCTTTATCACTGTCGGTACCACTGTCGGTTTCGCTTTCGGTATCACCGTCGTTACCACCGTCGGAATCACTGTCGGTATTTTATACCGAATATATCAACGACTTCTCCAGAACAATTTTCCAGCAATAACATTTACCAACTGAGCACATGTATAAATATAATACAACTATAACCAAAATGCAAAGTTCTGACTTTAAATTAAAATTTAAAAGAAAAATACAATTCTTTATGTCCACAATTTAAACTCATAAATCCATTTAAAAAATATTCAGTTCAACTTACGTTTCATCCTTCTCGACGTCTTTTCCTACCCTGAACGTAGATTGAAAATAAACACACGAGTAGGGAATTGAGATAATGACTTGTCAAACAAACAAAAAACAACAACATGTGACGTGTGTTCTTACCAAGAAAGAAACAAAGAAACGACGCAAATCGAAATTAGACAAACGAGGATAAAAACTACTTTTGATTTACACCCAGCTCAAGGTAAATGTCATTGACATCAAGTTAAAGGTAAATGTCATTTACATCCAGTTAAAGGTAAATATTATTTTACATCCAGTTAAATGTAAATGTCATTTACACCCAGTTCAGAGTAAATGTCATTATATCAAGTTCAAGGTAAATGTCATTTACATCCAGTTCAAGGTAAATGTCATTATATAAATTAAAGTGTTTAATTTTTGTTGTTCTACCCACTGATTCCTGTCCTGTGTCACATAACAGGTGTTACCAGCAGGGATTCGGTCCGGACTCGTCTCAAAATATTTTGATGTTTTTTTTTGTTTTTTTTTGTGGTCCGCACAGGGCCGCTGCTCTTTGTGATTTATATTTGGGGGGATCTAGTAGTTAAGACAGACAGCAGCGTAGCTTAGACGTAAATGTTTAAGCCAACTCAAGGTTGTCACACATACTAATGAAATATAATGTTATTTTCTTTTACCCCGGGTCTGTGTAATTTGAAAAAAATAGACCGTGAGTCCAACTGCTAAAAAAAAAAAAAAAAAAAAATTAACCTCTAATTTTCTGTACTATATGACTGCATTTAAACTTTAGCCCTACAGACCGTCCCACACCATACCCGTGGCTCTTTATTGATTAATATAACAGTCGACTACGAAAAAATTGAACCTTTTTACCCGAGTTCAACCGTCACGCATGACGCTCACTGCTTGAAAGCTTTTTTTTTTTTCCGCACTAAGTACTATTCATATAAAACATGTTGAGTAGGGGGTGGGGTGGTTGCTATAAGGAAGCAGCCACACCAGAAGCAATATAAATATATATTAGAGACAACTTGACAAAACTAAGTTCTTCCGTTGATATATTCCTATCACTAATAATAACCGAACTTCTTTCTGTCTATTCACCCCTTCGATAGCTTCGCTCCTCTGCAGACACGCGTATTCTGTCCGTTCTCAAGCCACACACTAAAAATATGGTGAACGATTTTTCTCTTTCTGCGCCTCCAAAACAGCTACAATGACAACAGCAACAGCTACAATGACAAAAGCAGCACCAACAGTTGCAATGACAACAGCAGCACCAACAGCTACAATGACAACAGCAACAGCTACAACGATGACAGCAGCACCAACAGTTACAATGTCAAAAGCAGCTGCAAGAGGTACAATCACAAAACAACAATGACAACATCAACAGCTACAACGACAACAGCAGCACCAACAGTTACAATGTCAAAAGCAGCACCAAGAGCTACAATCACAAAACAACAACAAAGACTTCAGCTTGCCAACAGCCTACCGGATGAAGACATCTTCAAGAGTTGTGGACTTGAGACCGTAGGAGAGGACTTTTAGCTCATGCTTGTGATCCTCAACGTAACGAAGGAGTTTTGGCATGTCTGTCACCTTGTCGTCTGGGACTCTGTACTCTATCTCTGACAGCGTCTCACCCTGACAACATCGGTTACATGATAATCAATTACTTAGAGATTATGATGTCCGATTTACAACATCGATTGCATGATTGATTACAGATTATGATGTCCGATTAGCTCGAAGGGAAGCAACCGGTCATCCGGAACGGCATGTGGTTCTTAAATGGAAAAGATTCGGCTCTTAAATGGAAAAGATGTGGCTCTTAAATGGAAAAGATTCGGCTCTTAAATGGAAAAGATTCGGCTCTTAAATGGAAAAGATGTGGCTCTAAAATGGAAAAGATTCGGCCCTTAAATGGAAAAGATTCGGCTCTTAAATGGAAAAGATTCTGCTCTTAAATGTAAAAGATGTGGCTCTTAAATGGAAAAGATTCGGCTCTTAAATGGAAAAGATTCGGCTCTTAAATGGAAAAGATTCTGCTCTTAAATGTAAAAGATGTGGCTCTTAAATGGAAAAGATTCGGCTCTTAAATGGAAAAGATTCGGCTCTTAAATGGAAAAGATTCGGCTCTTAAATGGAAAAGAGTCTGCTCCTAAATGGAAAAGATTCGGCACTGTTTTTTTTTACTGATCTTTAAGGGCATACTGCTCCAAAATTATTTAAAATTTAGGATAAGATACAATTGATACAAATGTCTCTGCACAACAAAATTAAAGTTGTCAACAAAAAAACCCACCTGAATTAACCCACTAAGACTTCCCAATGGTAAACATTGAAACAATGCAAGAACTCATTTACACCTAAGAAATTATTTTTAATGCAAAAAACAAAAAAATCAAACACACAAAGTGATTAAAAAGCAAAATCGAAAAAAAAAAATCTTTATCGAGTGCGGGTTCGTGGTCTTGTGGGTAAGGGTAAAGTCGTGTTGTAATCAACCACTGCGCCGTTTAGATATTCAAGGACTAAGACGTGGAGTAAAGATGGGGATTGGTTGTGCCATGGGTCAACTCTCCTTCTTACCAGATACTGCGCCGAGGGAGAGATTTCTAATATTGCCACCGTGACGTTATCCGATAGCGTTTCTTTCGTCTTCACAAGAGACAGCTTGTAGCCGGTGCCTAGGTTCAGAGATGGTGTTGTTAGTACCCACCACTTTGATCTAACATTCTTCTTGTATACATTAAATTATTACTAATTAAAACATCTAATCATGTATAAATTAAGGTATTGCTACCATAAAAAATCGAATCTTTTATAGAATAACTTATCACTGCCAAAGAAAATAATCAAGTACAGATTAAGTTTTGACTTACTATAAACGTGTAATGAAATATAGAAGTTATTTCCTACCATATACATGTAGTGAAATATAGAAGTTATTTCCTACTACAAACATGTCATGAAGTATAGAAGTTATTTCCTACTATAAACATTTAATGAAATATAGAAGAACTTATTGCCTACCAAGAGCATCAAATATCACACAAGTTATTTCCTACCATAAACATTCTTCAAAAACCAAGAAGTGCCGTAGCACTTGACCACGCCCTTGGCCATGATGGCGATACGGTCCCCAATGGCGTCGGCCTCGTCCATGTAGTGGGTGGTCATCAGGATGGTGTGTCCGGTTCGTTTAGATTTCAAGAACTTCCACAGGTCCTGTCTGGCGCTTGGGTCTAGTCCTGTTGATGGCTCGTCCAAGAAAATGACCTGTGCGATGTTGATAACGATGCTTTATTTAGATATGACATCTAATGTTTTATTTAGATATGACATCTAATGTTTTATTTAGATATGACATCTAATGTTTTATTTAGATATGACATCTAATGTTTTATTTAGATATGACATCTAATGTTTTATTTAGATATGACATCTAATGTTTTATTTAGATATGACATCTAATGTTTTATTTAGATATGACATCTAATGTTTTATTTAGATATGACATCTAATGTTTTATTTAGATATGACATCTAATGTTTTATTTTGATATGACATTTAATGATGGTCTATTTTGATATGACATTTAATGATGATTTATTTAAATACTGTGCCCCGTGATCATGTTTGTACCATTAGTGCTTCCAAAATGAATACACCCGACTGATTGTGCTTAAACATGTGCCCCAATTTAGGTTCTGTGTTTAATTCTGGATACATTCACATTCGCATGATCTAAAAAAAAATATATATATATAGTTTCACTCGCCCACAATTTGGGGCAAAAAATTATTTCCATCGGGCTTTATTCAATGCCACTATTTAGACATTTTAAACTGAAACTCAAACACTGTCGGGGCGATGTAATACTACAATGTGCACCATTATCCTAACACTGTCGGGGCGATGTAATACTACAATGTGCACCATTATTCTAACACTGTCGGGGCGATGTAATACTACAATGTGCACCATTATCCTAACACTGTCGGGGCGATGTAATACTACAATGTGCACCATTATTCTAACAGTGTCGGAGCGATGTAATACTACAATCTACACCATTATCCTAACACTGTCGGGGCGATGTAATACTACAATGTGCAACATTATCCTAACACTGTCGGGGCAATGTAATACTACAATGTGCACCATTATCCTAACACTGTCGGGGTGATGTAATACTACAATGTGCACCATTATCCTAACACTGTCGGGGCGATGTAATACTACAATGTACACCATTATCCTAACATTGTCGGGGCGATGTAATACTACAATGTGCACCATTATCCTAACACTGTCGGAGCGATGTAATACTACAATGTGCACCATTATCCTAACATTGTCGGGGCGATGTAATACTACAATGTGCACCATTATCCTAACACTGTCGGGGCGATGTAATACTACAATGTGCACCACAAATATAACACTGTCGGGGCGATGTAATACTACAATGTGCACCATTATCATAACACTGTCGGGGCGATGTAATACTACAATGTACACCATTATCCTAACATTGTCGGGGCGATGTAAGACTACAATGTGCACCACAAATCTAACACTGCGATGACGATAAAAGCCCTTAAATATGCTCTGTAAATACCTTGCTGTTGCCACTGAAGGCGCACGCCACTGAAAGTTTCCGCCTCTGCCCGCCAGACAGTTGGTGTGGGAATGACGTCCGTTTAGCACTTAGGCCAACCTGGTCGAGGGCGTCCTGCAGTTGCTTGTCCACGCCGGCTTTGTACTGGCCTCGAAGCTGACACAAAATATTTGGACACCCATCATAGTTAGATGGTTCTATAGTTGTTAAGAATGTCCATTAAAAAAATTGCCCAATAGAGAGCCACAGTGGCCGAAAAGTTATAATGGCCAGAATCTTATGCACACTTTCCAGAAATTTTGTCTGGTTTCACTAACTTGTATTACTATTTGCAGGCTTCAAATTTATTGAATCCCGCATTTATTGTACCAATTTTATTAATTAAGAGAGATAGCAAAATATTGAACTGTAACATAAATGAGTTGATTCATTGATTATCCTGCGTGCTGATTCTGATTCGTTAGTTAGACTATTTACAAGCAGGGTAGCAACATAAGAACCACTGAGAACAGTCTGGGGAAAAAATCGACATCCGGGGCTTTATCCTTTTTTTTTTCTAATAGCAGACACATTTCTGAATGGGCGTTCAGTAGCAGTGCCGTACGCCCCCACGCAGGGCCCCATTGCGATGCGTCCATCATCTGTCTAAAGATGTATAAGTTGTGTCTCGGTGAATTCCCGACGGAACACAAACAGCAAAAAACCATCTCATTAAAACTTTTCACATCCCAAACACTTTCCTTGGATCATCCGAATCTTCAGACCCTGTCATTTCCCATTACACTAACTGCGTTTGTTCCACCCTATACAATCTCTGGAACACATCTATTTTTTAAAAAAAACATTTCACAACATCCTTCATAACTACCGATGTCACCACTTAAGAAAAACGACTTATCATTACTGCAATTAGGATTGGACATTTCACTACGTTTCAGCCAACCGTGAAAGTATTATGAAGCGTGCTCTGTAACTCACCTTACAGTAAAAAACAAGATGCTCGTAGGCAGTGAGTTTGGGGAACAAGACGTCGTGTTGCGGACAGAGTCCGATGTTCTCTCGGACCTTGGAAATGTTCGCGTTGATGTCGAAGCCATTAACGATCGCCGTGCCGCTTGTGGGCGGGATGAACCCTGTGGAAGATGGCCAGCCTCAGCCTAATATGAACTGTTTCATGCGGCTCTATAACCGTTTATAAAAGGATCTCTCTAACTCGTAAATCGTGACTGAATCGAAACATTCCATTCGGTGACATTTCAACAAATCGATTCATAAAATAATGCTTTATTTTACAGATTTTTAACTTAACAATTGCAACGATGGAGGGCAGTCAACCATTTATAAAAACATTGCAAATAAATTCTCCTAACCCCTAACCCGTCGTCCTAACCCTAAATAGTACCTTTGATTATTAAGCATTACAACTTTTTTCTCTTCAAAATAACAACCACTTTAATTTCATCCTGCTCCAGACATAAGATAAAAAACACAAGAATACAAAACCGTATGGTACAGTAGAGAATCGGACAATGTTCGGCTTCATGAGATTGACAAATGATGTCTTCACCTGTGATCACGGAGATAAACGTCGTCTTGCCGGCGCCGTTGTGTCCCAAGAGTACGGTGATCTGATCGTTGTAGATGTCGATGTTGACGCCAGCCACAGCTGTGTTGTGGCCGAACATCTGTGAAAACAAGATATACTGTAATGTTTAAATAAAGTTTACGCCTTTAATGTGGCTTGCTGTTTGTGGGTATAAAATGTTACAATATATATATATATATATATATATATATAATAAAATAATAATAAAGTTCATTTCAAAAACACGCTTCATCCCCAAAGGCTCGAAGCGCGGTACAAAGTCAACAAAAAACAAATCTATAGTTTACCACATTTAAAACAAACGCAACACGACAAAAACTAAGTACAAGCATACAATGGCAAAGTCTTTCTAGCCATTTCAACCATAAGCAACACAGCCATTATGCATTAACTGGAAAATAATGTTGACAATCATCCCAGAAGGTGTTTGCGAAATAGATGTGTCTTTAAATCGGTTTTAAAGGACTCCAGTGTCTGGTTGTTTCTGAGATCGACAGGAAGGGCATTCCAAATTGGTGGACCAGCAAATGCGAAAGTGCGCTTTCCGTAAGTCTCAAGGCAAACACGTGGTGTCGAGAGTTTGCCACTATCGGATGAGCGGAGCTCTCTAGTGGGTACATAAGGCGTCAGCAGCTCTTTCAGATAGGACGGCGCCAGGTCATGTAAGCAGCGGTAGCACAAAGTTGCGATTTTGTACTCCATGCGAGCACGCACTGGCAGCCAGTGCAGCTCTCTCAGAAGTGTTTTTGCATGGTCAAACTTGCGTTTGCGGAGAACAATGCGAGCCGCATTATTCTGTGCTATTTGAATTTTATCCAGGAGCGTAGCTGGAAGACCCACCATAAGAGCATTGCAATAGTCCATGCGTGATAGCACAAATGCAGACATCAGCCTCTTTGTTGCATCAATTGTTAGGAAGGGCCTGATGTGACTAATCCTGCGCAGCTCTAGAAAAATCGCCTTGCATAGCATGTTAATATGACTTTCAAAAGTTAGTCTTCCATCTAGGTAGACACCCAGGTACCGCACTGTTTGAGCTAACTCAATACGCACACCTGAGAGAGTAATGGATGTAGTGTTATTTGCAGATTTTTGCTTCTGAGCGGTCGCGATGGGGAGCAGCTCAGTCTTATCATCATTTAATTTGAGCTTGTTTATCGTCATCCAGTGCTTAACCGACTCCATTGTCTTCTGTGTCATACTGAGCAGCTGAGGGAACTGAGAAGGGATCACGGATTGATGAAGTTGTGTATCGTCCGCGTACATGTGATACAACATGTCAAACTGCCTGATCTCTGCGCCCAGTGGCTGAATGTACATCGTGAAAAGCACTGGGCCTAGGACCGAGCCCTGGGGTACTCCGAATTCGATATTAGATTTCTTCGAAGTCAAGCCGTTTGAAATAACTGACTGCACCCGATTAGTCAGATACGATCGGAACCAACACAGGACGGTATATATATACAGTGGTACCTCGGGTTTCGAACTTAATTCGTTCCAGAACTCGGTTCATAACCAAAAACGTTCGTTACCCGAGGCACTGCTCGTTACCCGAGACAAAAAATTCGAAGTTGCTGTTCGTAACCTGAATTTTTCGTGGCCTGCACAACATACAGACCGCCAGCAACCACTTGGCGGCCCGCGAAGTAACAAAATATTGTTTATTATTTTTTTTTTTCATAGTTTTCCCCCTGTCCTATTATATTTCGGCCCGCACAAGTTTATCATTAAGTATTAGGGCCCGCCTTACATTTTGAGATGTGAAGGCCTGCTTTATAACAAACTAATAAAATTGAGGGCTCTTACCTTGACCAGATCTCGGACCTGAATACCTGCGGTCAGACCCTTGGCCGCACTTTCAAAATATTTGGGATCTTGAGGTGGGAGTTTAGGCAGATCCTTGCCCGATCGTCTGTTAGGAAACCAGTACGCTGTCTAGATATAGAATTGTTGTGTTGTGGCTAGATATAGAATCGTTGTGACTGGATATAGAAACGTTGTGTTGTGACTAGACATAGAAGCGTTGTGTTGTTACTAGATTAAGAATTGTTGTGTTCTGATTTGATATAGAATCGTTGTGTTGTGATTAGATATAGAATTGTTGTGTTGTGACTAGATATAGAATTGTTGTCTTGTGACTAGATATAGAATTGTTGTGTTGTGACTAGATATAGAGTCGTTGTGTTGTGACTAGATAATATAGAAACGTAGTGTTATGACTTGATATAGAATTGTTGTGTTGTGACTATATATAGAACCATTGTGTTGTGACTAGATATAGAATTGTTGTGTTGTGACTAGATATAAAACTGTTGTGTTGTGACTAGATATATAACCGTTGTGTTGTGACTAGATATAGAATTGTTGTGACTAGATACATAATCGTTGTGTTGTGACTAGACATAGAATCGTTGTGTTGTGACTAGATATAGAATTGTTGTGTTGTGACTAGAAATAGAATTGTTGTGTTGTGACTAGATATAGAATTGTTGTGTTGTGACTAGATATAGAATCGTTGTGTTGTGACTAGATTAAGAATTGTTGTGTTGTGACTAGATATAGAATTGGTGTGTTGTGACTAGATATAGAATTGTTGTGTTGTGACTAGATATAGAATCGCTGTGTTGTGACTAGATATAGAATTGTTGTGTTGTGACTAAATATAGAATTATTGTCTTGTGACTAGATATAGAATTGTTGTGTTGTGACTAGATTTAGAATTTACTGTTATGAATAGCTATAGAATCGTTGTGTTGTGACTAAATATAGAATTTTTGTGTTGTGACTAGATATAGAATTGTTGTGTTGTGACTAGATTTAGAATTTACTGTTATGAATAGCTATAGAATTGTTGTGTTGTGACTAGATATAGAATTGTTGTGTTGTGGCTAGATATAGATTTGTTGTGTTGTGACTAGATATAGAATTTACTGTTATGACTAGCTATAGAATTGTTGTGTTGTGACTAGATATGTAATTGTTGTGTTGTGACTAGATATAGCATTTTTTACATTGACTAGATTTAGGATTTTTATTTATATTCTAAATATAGTTTGTTTACAATATCTTGAAATACAATCACTAAAAATATAATTTTTATCATGATTTCAGTAAAGAAGAGTTCATTTACACATAAAGAGGTTTTTTGTTTTTTTAAAAGCTTAGGTTTTAAAGATCTGGCAACAAATCCTCTAAGCTCTTTTTACGTTATTGATAAAAACAAAAGAACAGTCCACTAATTAATGATGTGTAAATTTGTTCCCCTTCTGTTGTAAATTAAATGATCGACTTCCTTTAATTAACCCGTGAAAGCAGTCTTTATGTCATGTCGGAGGTCTAAAATATACTCCACACAACCAGCTTCAGTCGTAACGTTCTCTTTCATTTGATATACGGTGTTGGCGTTCTCCCATATCACTAGAAGTGTATCTCTTTTCAGCACAGAGGCCTAGAAACTCGAGTCAAAGCTGAAGCTGTTCTTGTGTCTCACCAGTGGAGTGCTCGATGTCCAGAACATTTTTGAAAAAAAAAATTGGGGGAATGTTTGGAGAGTACGGTCTGCTTTTAATTCTCACAAGATTGTCTGCTTGGAATCATCGTCCATTGCGGCTTTGTTGAATACTTTATTTTTTGTGAATCGCACAGGATAGTGCCCCGACCCACCGTTGCAGTTGATCCGTTTGTTTCGCCGATAAACCAACCTGTCATGTACTTGAGGTTTGTCGTTCTCAGAAGTGAGTCGTCCTATTTCCTTCTCGATAGCCTCACCTGGCATCTCTAGCTCTCTTTTTTTACCCCCAGGTACCAGGTCTCTATACTTTCAACGGTTCCTTTTACCGGTCACTATTAGCTCGGTTCCCATTTCCCCGGTTTAAAAATTTGGCCGAGTTGTACATGTCTGCTTGAAGAGTTGACCACGTGCAGTCCATTTTGCAAATAGGTCCTGCAGCCATAGCTAGTAAACAGCTACATTTTTTTCAGAGTTGCTTGAACAGCAGATGTTTATATAAAGGCAGCCTTCGATCGTAATGTGGTGTAGCATTGTTGTTGTTGTTTTGTTTTTTTGTTTTTTTGCCATTAATATTATATCCTGGCCTTAGAGAGAATCATCGGCGTGATATCATAAAATGTCCTGCACACTTTCCCTTTGCTGCCTGGATCTATTGCAAAATATCGTTTCAGCAAATCTTGATGGTGAATTTTAGGATAATAGCTTGATAGCATGATAGCATGCCAGTTCTTGCATTCCTTACTTTTATTCGTCTCTCAAAGACACTCGTCTCCAGATTATTATGTTATTTGGGTCTAAGGACGCTACGGTGACAATTTGACGTATCTGGATTGAATAAATAGTTTTACATCCCACTGTAGTCCCAGGGCTAATCTCTAGCGTTTCGTTACAAATGTTGGGCTATTCTTTTCCATTTCAGATGTCATTGTTTGGGCCTGCAGACAGGCATGCTTGGCTTCTTGGTTTAATTCGCGTAACTTCAGTAAGTTTCAGACGCCTAGATTTTCTGTTGAAGTTTTGTGTTAATGTTTTCTGATAACTTTTTCTGACGAAGTTTTATGCAATTGAAGAAATTTTCTTTTGAACTTTTCCAAAATTTAAGTTTTCTGATGAAGTTTTCTGATGAAGTTTTCTGATGAAGTTTTCTGATGAAGTTTTCTGATGAAGTTTTCTGATGAAGTTTTCTGATGAAGTTTTCTGATGAAGTTTTCTGATGAAGTTTTCTGATGAAGTTTTCTGATGAAGTTTTCTGATGAAGTTTTCTGATGAAGTTTTCTGATGAAGTTTTCTGATGAAGTTTTCTGATGAAGTTTTCTGATGAAGTTTTTGGGTGATTTGTCTTCTCCAAGTTTTCTGATAACGTAAAATTTTCCGATGACGTTTTCTGTTAAAAATATTTACTGGACCGGAAATCAGACAAGAGTGCTATATTTGTATCCCTCGTTACGCCAACCCCATAAGCTTGGTGCGCCGTCTCGACATGTTATGTCAGATGTTGGGGGGGAAGCCGATGTGGCTTTATAATTCCACAATCTTAGATAAAACAGTCCTCAAAACCTTAAGTCAGAATTAGTTTCCTATTTACGATGACCAGTTCAGTTGGGTTGGATCTCTTCGGTTGCAATCACTTTCCTAATATCGTGTATTGAAAAAAAAAAAGAGTATACAATGAATTTCGCATGTCTGCATCCATTACCTTGGCGTATGGCTGTGTCATCTCCAAATGCCTTGCAAATATAACGTGTGTTTCCAAAGGGGTAATGTTCCGAAATTCATGTTTAGGAAAGGGATAGAGGTTTGGGATATTTAGGGCGGGGGTGGGGGTGGGGGGTGGAGAACATTTCAAAATGGCCTACACGTCTTTATAAGATGAAATCTGTGGGCACTATTTCGTTCATATCTACTTTTATTTCATTCATTTACTTCTGCTTGTATGAGATCGCGCCGCCCTAGCCCAACTTTGACTACCTGTGTGACGTAAGTAAAAGTGCCTTACTCAATTGGTGATACTGCCAAAAACGATTCTCACATGTAATGAGTTAAAAATGATGAGTGGTGAGAAATGCGTGTCCACGTACTGTGAGGGGAAAGTAAAAAGGTCTCGCGACTCCAAAGTCACCTTTGTAGACCTCATCAAGATACCAGGTAAGTAACAGGTTGAACGCAGTATTAATCAACATGAAAAGCAAGCCGTCCGCAATGGAGACCTGAGTTGAAGTCTTGTCCCCTATGTTGCCGAAATTTGAGACCAGATCTAAAAGAAAATAATGAAAAAGGGGGGGGGGGGGGGGAATAGGGGGGGGTGGTAATCATCTAAACATCTATAAAAAATAATTGTTGTTTAGTTGGTTTTTTTTTTGTTTTTTTTACATTAGAGTGATAAAGAGGTATGGTATTAGACATGTCGACTCATGCACAGGTATTTAAACATGTCAGCTACACATGTATTTAGGCATGTCAACTACACATGTATTTAGACATGTCAACTACACATGTATTTAGACATGTCAGCTACACATGTATTTAGACATGTCAGCTACACGTGTATTTAGACATGTCAGCTACAAGTGTATTTAGAAAAATCAGCTACACATGTATTTAAACTTGCAAATTACACACATATATAGACAAGTTAATTACACATATATTTAAACGTACTGAGCTATTTCTTCAGGGGACCTCTTTCGGACACCGTTAGGACCCCTTTTGGACAACCCTATGTCCAAGAGTTTGATATATTTAGGAGTTTCCTGGAGCGGCCGTGGAGTCCTTGAGAAATGCTCACAAAACCCCAAAGGAAAATTCTGCTCTACAAAAATAATTTTGAAGTCTCGCTTCTCGTTAAAAAACACACCAAAAAAAAAAACCCAACAACTTCAGGTTGACATTTCCCATTAAGTGCGACAATAAAACCGCATAGTAAAAAAAAAATTAACAACCAGCATCGCTGCACTTGCCTCTCTTTTCATTGTCTTGGATCTTTGTAGCCACGGCCACGTAGCCAAAGCCGTACATAAAGGAGCCCATCAGATACTGGACGACCGTTGTTTTACTCTTGGCCAAGGCGCTGTCAGCATTGTACTTGAACAGGGTGTTAATGATGAAAAGGAAAGGCACGGCGTGACGCGCTGTGGGGGGAGGGGAGCGAAATGGAAGGTGAGGGGGGGGGGCAAACGTTATAAATACGTACATTTATAATTTGAAACACCAGCGGGTATCCAATTTAAGATAAACCTGATTTTAAAAAAATAGGTGGATTTTGAATGTATGCCCGGGTGTAATGCAATGTCTACTGACTTGGCAGACAGTCGAGATCTGATTAATGCTGTACTTTGGAGACAGTCGAGATCGGATTAATGCTGTAATCTAAAATAATTTAATTTAACCCCACAGAGAATATGAACATTTTTTTTTACCGCTCAATCTAGATCGAAGGCTGTTCAATCCATAGATTTCTCTTACAGATAAGTTGGTTCTCTTATTACTTTTTAAAAAAATGGATACCCCTGCAAGCAACTAAGCAGACCGCCCCCATCCCCGGAATGGAGATGTCAGCTGGACATTGATTCGGGGAGCTTGTTAGATGATTTACTTTGATGCTCTCTGATGCACTAGTTGCCCCCCATGGCTATGACGCATTTCAAACAATGTGCATGTTCCAAATCAAAACAGTCTCCATGAATAGACGGTCCGCTCTTCAAGTCACTAGTTGATCATTCATGAAGAATTTTAAAGTGACCTTTTTTTTTTTAAAGATTTTGTAATTTAAATAACTAATAATAGCAGAATTTGCGATCAAACATTTTTAAAAAGAAACTACAAAAAATAATGACTTTTCACTTTGTCTAGCCATCAGCCTTTTTCTATATTCAAAAGCGATCACTTAACCCGGTGTCTTATACATTCACAAAAGAACTTTCCTGGCCATTTTTTTTTTATATTCAAAAGCTATCACTTAATTAAACGCGTCTCATTAAACAAAAGAACTTACTCGGCCATTTCGTACATTCGAAAGCAATCACTTATCTAGGCGCGTTATACGTCCAACGAAAGAACTTACTTTTTTTAATGACGCACGAGACAGCCAGGCAGAAGGTGAGCATGTCCAGAACCAGGACCACCATCAACGCGATGAGAAGAAGTGGATTGGCCAGGAAGAGTCGACCCGTGCCAGACACGTCCACGCTGGAGATGATGATGGTGGCCACAATGAGGACGCCAGCCCAGAGGAAGTTCATGAAGAACCACGACAGCCAGTAGATGCTCTTGCGCATGCCCATCAATGACATTGTCTCCTGGAAGATTAGAGGAACGACGTGACGATGGCAGTGAATGGCGCAACAGGGGCGGTGACATGCAGGTCACAGCATGGCGGTGGCAGTGAATGGCGCAACAGGGGCGGTCACATACGCGTCACAACATGGCAGTGGCACAAATGTCCAAGGCTGCGACTATTCGAAACCGGGTACAAGAAGTGTGAGGTTGGGATTAAAAAGCTATTATACAAATTTTATTGTTGGGTTTGTAAGACCAAATGAGGTATGAAATGAAAGGTAATTGAACGGACTAAATGTTTGTAAACTTAATTCTTCAGTTTAACTAAACTGCCACAAATGACATCCGAATAGCTTGGGTCTAATGGTACCCGGGTGCGAATGGTGGCACTGCGGGGCTGGGTCCATTTTGACTCAGTGTTGTTCGGATGTCCTTTGTGGTAGTTTATTTTAGTTAAATTGAAGAATTAAGTTTACAAACATATAGTCCATTCAATTATCTTTCATTTGATACCTCATTTTGTCTTGCAAACCCAACAGTAATATTTTAAATATATTTTTTTAATCCCAACCATTCACTTCTGGTACCCGGGTACGAAAAGCCACTTTGAATATCAAAACATGGTTGTGGAATAAATGCCATAATTTGGCGGTCGTATACATGTCACAAAGTGACAGCGGTATACATGTCACAGCATGGTTGTGACACACATGTAACAACATGTCAGCGGCAGAAACGTCACCAAATGGTAGTGGCATATATGTCACAACATGGCAGCGGATTGCATGTCACAACATGGCAGCGGATTGCATGTCACACTATGGCAGCGGCATGTATATATGTCAATACATGGCAGCAGTATAAAGGTCACAACATGGCAGTGACATATATGTAACAACATGGAAGCGGAATATATATGTCACTACATGGCACTGGCATAAATATATATATATATATGTTAATGCTCAGTTGTATTGACTCTAAATGGATATGAGGCGAGAGGTGAAGGTGGTAACCGCTGGCCGATGATTCTTACTACGCAGCCCTGAAAAGCTGCTCCAAGGCAACCGTTTCGTCCCAGCTACAGCGCGAATTAGTTGCGTTGTGGAAACCCAATGTAGAATCCCTCTTATAGGGCGTCTAACGCTTCCCTGGGATGGCTGGGGGGAAGATATTAGGACGTAAATTTTTCCATCCCGACTCCTGAGAAAGTCGATCGAGTGCACTGTGTGCAAACACAGTGTCGGACCGACCGGGTGTCTTTGGGTTAGGACGGCCCCCTGCGGAGACCTGGTCGAGTAGACTTGGGTGGGGGCTGTCCTGACAAAAGGACATCCCTGACGTGCCGCTTCGCGGCCTGATACCGAGTTGGGAAGGGGTGTTTTGGGGAGGGCATAAAGAGCGCAAGCTCGACGGCCCGCTGACGCCATTTCTTAATGTAATATATATATATATATATATATATATATTGACTCTAAATAGAGTGGTAAGGTGCGTGTACTGACGTTGTCGTTGATGGCTTTTAAGTTATCAGGTTACTAAATCAATATTTCTATTTCTTATTGTTTCTTCATTTTTCTTGTCTTCTGAGGAAGGCTCTTGGCCGAAACGTTCTTCTTTTACTGGCCTAGCTTTTTTTTTTTATTTTAATTTTTGACGTACTTTGTTTTAAAATTTCGAAATTAATGAGTTTAGCAAATCAACGATCTTTTCCCGTTACTGCCCCCCCCCCCTTTTTTTTTTCGTGACTGTTTAGAACCCTTCCAAAAGGCGTATGAAATCAATACCGTAAGGCAAGTACCAGTCATGGCTCAGAGCTAATTAAAAATCCGAAGGATGAACTATAGAGAAACTGCAGGTCGCTCTTCAAGCACTTAAACATTTATTAAAAATAATTTTGAGGCCATATTTCAAGGGGTTTAATACAGTTCAACCACTGTTACAAATGTTTTGCTCATTAACTCCCCTGGGGCGCGAAAACAATCTCCAAAACGTGTCGCATTTTACCTTCAGCTTCAGCTCTCTTTCTTCGACGATGTTTTTGCCCGCGTAGCTCGCCATGGTCAGGAAGATGTAGAACAAGGCGTTGCACACAAACGAGATGACCGTGTGCCTCAGCGGGACGACGTTCCTCTCCGGTATGGGCATTTCGGTCGTGTTCAAGCGGAAACTTGTCTGTTTCAGATTCAGCTCCGCCTGCCAGTAGTTGATGAACACGCTGGTGACGTAGTAGTTCAGCGAGGCGACGCCCCGCCTCGAGTAAACAAGAAAAAAAAAATGGAACCAAAAAAAAAGAAAAAAAAGAACGGAACAAAACATAGAACACAATGGATTGTAAGAGATTAACGTGTGACAATTTTTGGTAACATTGAAGAAATTTTTAAATAAAAAATATATATATACAATGCTGTGAACGTTTGGGGGCGCCATGGGCACAAGCAAACAGTGGCGCCTCGTGCGTCTCAGTAACAATAAAAAGAGAAGCTGATAATTTAAAAGGGTTCTCGTCAAGTCCACGCCCCCCCTAGCCCCTGCTGCCCCCCCCCCCGAGCCCCTGGAGCATTGATTACGTTGTCCAACTTGACCTGTAAAAATAATCTGATTCTGAGAGATGGCACGACGAGGGTGGTCCTCACGTGTCCACGCCCCCATGCTGGACGTCACACCGAACCCAGGGATTGTTCAGGCGACTACTGATAACAATCGAATTTAAACTGCACGCCTAACCCATTTACGTACCGACCGATTTATGGAAATCAATGCCTAACAATTCGCAGAAAATACTGGCCCAATCCCTCTCCCCCACCCCTTTATGTGGGGCATAGGCGACCAGGGATCTCTTTATGCGTCTCTACAAGTGGGACATTGGCGACCAGGGATCTCTTTATGCGTCTCTACAAGTGGGACATTGGCGACCAGGGATCTCTTTATGCGTCTCTACAAGTGGGACATTGGCGACCAGGGATCTCTTTATGCGTCTCTACAAGTGGGGCATTGGCGACCAGGGATCTCTTTATGCGTCTCTACAAGTGGGACATTGGCGACCAGGGATCTCTTTATGCGTCTCTACAAGTGGGACATTGGCGACCAGGGGTCTCTTTATGCATCCCTCCAAATGGGGCATATGCGAGGGTTTTACCAACCCTTGGTGCATTTATTTTCTGAGTTCTACAATAAACGGTAGTCTTTGAAAACGTAACTGTTCAAAGTTGTTTTCTCTTCTTTCCGTTTCAAACTGCCTCGTTAGTTTTGTTGGTGGTGCGAAATTCCGTAAACATAAATACCTAGGGGTGAGGAGTCTAGACGAAGGTTGGAAAGCATTGGCATAAAAATCAAGGTTCTATGTACAACAAATATATAGAGCGCCTTAGGAGAGCATGGAGCTTTGTAAGTATAACTTTTCATGGAGATTAGGAAATCAGCGACCTCTGTAAGCATAAGTTTCCATGAGAAGTAGGCAATCATAGATCATTTTTCTATTAGTAGGACATGGCCAGTAAAAGATGTTTGCATTACTCCTGGTGGGGCTTGAGAACTCAAAGATCGTATCATGACTCCTAGTGTGACATGGGCAATCAACAATCCTTTCATTAATCCTAGTGGGGCATGGTGCTTTCAATTAAAGATCATTGCATTAATCCTGAATATTTGAAATGAGCTCACACACAGAATCCCCAAAGATCTGCTCTTTCTCGATCTTGAAATCAACAGCAATTTTAAACTTCAAATTCTTGGGCACGGTCTCGGAGGAGCAAGAGTCTTCCTCGAAGACCACCAACCTCCGCCCGTTGTTGGTGAGATTGAGGAGAGCGTAGCCGAATTCAATGGACTTGACCCCCACTGCGATGGGAACTGAAAGTAACACAAGAGAACAAGGCGTTGATTGAGATTTGGGCTAGAACAGGATTGGGGTGGGGTGTGGGGGTGAGAGTGGGGGGGGGGGAGAGAGAGAGATTTGAATATGTACATAACAAGAAATAATACAATATCCTAATAAGGGAGCGTTATCTATCATACAGCATTATCTTAACTGAGTTTCCATAATGGCCTTGACCCCCACGGCGATGGGAACTGAAAGAAACACAAGAGAACAAGGCGTTGATTGAGATTTGGGCTAGAACAGGTTTGGGGTGGGGTGTGGGGGTGAGAGTGGGGGGGGGGGAGAGAGAGAGATTTGAATATGTACATAACAAGAAATAATACAATATCCTAATAAGCGAGCGTTATCTATCATACAGCAGTATCTTAACTGAGTTTCCAGTTGTCTGTCGTCATGTTAGGGGCCATGTTCACTTCTGTCGTCATTATAAGGCATCGAGTTCACGTCTGTCGTCATTATAAGGCGTCGAGTTCACGTCTGTCGTCATTATAAGGCGTCGAGTTCACGTCTGTCGTCATTATAAGGCGTCGAGTTCACGTCTGTCGTCATTATAAGGCATCGAGTTCACGTCTGTCGTCATTATAAGGCGTCGAGTTCACGTCTGTCGTCATTATAAGGCGTCGAGTTCACGTCTGTCGTCATTATAAGGCGTCGAGTTCACTTCCGTCGTCATTATAAGGCGTCGAGTTCACTTCCGTCGTCATTATAAGGCGTCGAGTTCACTTCCGTCGTCCCCGAATAAAATGAAAATACCAGTGTTGTTGTCTTTGACCATTTTTTTTTAGATCGTTTACATTAACTTCGCTTTAGTGTGTATGGGGTAAAATCTTCGGACGGCTAATTGACCAACTGCCAGTCAACCTATCGAGCTGAAACTTGGCACATAGATTCGTTTCCAATGGCAACGCATTCCGTCAAATTTTCAGCCCCATCTTCCTAACCCCGCGCCCCCTCCCCGGCCAAATCAGTTTTTCCTGTTTTTCAAGTGGAAAAGGGGGTGGGGGAATATGATGACGCCGATTCATGAAATAACATTAACGATAACATGAAGGTCTTAAAAAAAATACTGCACGTGCATTTTGTGCGTGTTAATGTACTTTTGTTTTTCTGAGGTAGTTGGTGAAATAAATCTGAGTTTTAAAAGCTGGTGGGTCATTAAAATATGATAATTGTTGAGGCGCGTGGGAACAAAAATGTGTGGGTACTTGTAAAAAAAAAAAGGGGGGGGGAGGGAGGATACGCACTAATTAGGATTCTTATAAAGTGCTTTACTTGTATGCATGTTTTGTCAAACGTTCAGCCCCCTCCCCCCCCCTCCTTGCTCGAGGTTGTTTAATTAGTTTCAAGCAAAACTTTTTGTCAGTGGATTTCAAGTTTAAAAAAAAATTAAACAAATAAACTCAGTAAAGATCTGCTTTCCTCCCACGTTCAACCAAAATAGCAGAGATGCATCTTATCGTGATACCATACCCTTGGCAGCATTCCTCCCTTTGGTGAACATCTTGGTTAGGGCTGGGCACGTAGGGGTGTACACGATGGGAACCTCGAGGGGCAGGCTGTATCTCAGCACGTCCAAGGGCAGGTAGAACTTGTCCTGCGGCTTCTGGACGCTGGTGTTCAGCAGCATGAGGTAGGTGAGCCCCAGCACCATCGTCGGGATGGCTGTGGTGGCAAAGAACAGTGTTTACACGGCTGCACGGCTGCACGACGAGGAAAAACATTTCTCAAGTCGGACGTTTTCGTGGGCGAGTCTACCGGACGACACATGGTATTTACACGGATCGAATTGTACAGGGACGTATGGCTTACCACAGGCGCCGGGGAACTTTTAAAAAAAAAAATCGGGAGCTATTTTAATAAATTATATTTTCCTTTTAAAGCCGATTTAACGCACATCTATTTCGCAAACACCTTCTGCGGTGATGCTATCTACCATCATTTTTCAGTTAATGTATATTGGCTTGTGTTGCTTATGGTTGAAATGGGATGAAAGACTTTGACTTGGTATTCTCGTATGTAGTTTTATAGTGTTGCGTCTGTTTTTTAAATGTGGTAAATTGTAGATTGTTTTTATTTCTCATTTTAATATGGTTGACTTTGTACCGCGCTTCGAGCTTTTGGGGATGAAGCGAGCTTTTCAAATAAACTTTATTATTATTATTATTATTATATATATATGTATGTATGTATGTATGTATGTATGTATGTATGTATGTATGTATGTATGTATGTATGTATGTATGTATGTATGTATGTATGTATGTATGTATGTATGTATGTATGTATGTATGTATGTATGTATGTATGTATGTATGTATGTATGTATGTATGTATGTATGTATGTATGTATGTATGTATGTATGTATGTATGTATGTAGGTATGTATGTATGTATGTATGTATATTTAAAATTATGTTTTAGGAGCAATCTGCAGGGGTGGATTGTTTAAATATCAAATATAATAGTACATTAAAAAAAAAAACCGCATCTATTCTATTAGAGAGCGATTGGTTATCATAAAGAAGTAGAAAGATTGGATTTTAATCCCAAGCTTGTGATTTCAATTATTTTAAAAACAAATAAAAAAAATACATAAAATGAGTGAAAAAATCAAATCAAATATTTTCATCATCCCACCCTGCCCCCCCCCCAACCCACCCCGATCCAATACACCGCGCCCAACCTCACCGCCCTGCGCACACCCTACACCCCACACACTAGGGTTTAAGCTGTTTCTTCTCATTTCTACCAAACTAGCTGTCGTAAACCTACATTGAATGCACCAACACATTTTTTTTAAAAAGAATTAAAACAGTCACTTGTATGTGCAACGCTTTTGTTTAAGTATTAAACAAGTCACTGTATGCGCAACTCACACGTTTAAGTATCAAGTAACAAGTTACTCGTATGAACAACTCATATGCCCAACACTTGCGCAAGTCATGCAACTGTATCCACATAAGCCCCAAACACAACCGGGGAACTCATACACCATTCACCAGATTCACCTTAAGATACAACTCACCCAGTTCACACAAGGTACCCGACCACCCGCGAAAACGGGTCTTGAAGTTTTTGGCCACCAACGCACTGAACTGAGATCCAAGGGTCATGGTGGCTGCTGGCCGATTCTCTATACAGACACATATTCAAACATGCGTTAACATAGGAGTTTTTTTTAAACGATTTACCCATATTTACCCCACCTACAGGGGACAGTGAGCACTCCCACGCGTGTGCGTGTATGTAGGAATGTGTGTGCGTATGTTTGTGTGTATGTTAATATGTATGTGTGTGTATGTTGTGTAATGATTGTGCATATGTGCGTTTGTGAGAGGGAGAGAAAGAGAAAGAGAAAGAGAAAACGAGAGAGAGAGAGAGAGAGAGAGAGAGAGAGATTGGGGGAGGGGGGGGAGTCATAAACAGTGTTTAATGTGATAGGTTCACCAAGGCTGGGAGGGGGGGAGTCATAAACAGTGTTTAATGATATAGGTTGACCAAGGTTGGGAGGGGGGGAGTCATAAACAGTGTTTAATGAGATAGGTTGACCAAGGTTTTGAATAAATTGTTGACGAGTTCTATTTGCAAGAAGCATTGTAAACAATACAAATTAATACAAGGATATGGTTAAAATTAACTTAAAATACTCGAAGTTAAAAGAAAATATTGGAATGTTCCTACCTTCTTAGAATTTCAATAAGATGACCGCCATTGTCATTGACATCCACTTTAAACCGGATTGATTTTTTTTAAAGGAGACCAAAATACTTATTTTCTAAGAATTCTCTCTACGCAGCAACTCCATGCAGTAGACTTTATACTTTGATAGATCACACAACAGGACATGTTTTGTTTGTCTTATTATTGACACACTGACGTCATTAAATTAAGCCAAGAATGTGCATAACGGTGCTCTGCATATCGGGAATTCTCAAAATTTTAAATTTAAAAAAAACACTTAATTGCGGACAGGCAGATCAATGTGTATATCAAAGAAAGGGGGGGGGGGCGGGCGCCACCCCACGGGCCGCAGGTAACCCTCAACGATAAATTCTAATCCACCGTCGGGGGCCAGATGTATCACGCATTTCTTTATTCAATTTGGGTTTCTATTAAGTCCTGTTACCGACCCCATTTTTTAAAATTGACTAATTAATTTGTTTAAACAGGGCTTCTACCGAAATGAGATTTATTTCAGTTCATGTATGTGCCGCACGTAGGGACGTGTTATCATGTGTGTTACCTAAGAGGGTAGACGCACGCTCACAGCAAGGATCAGCATCCTCCACCAAATCATCCGTTGGGGATTCAACATGAGACTCGCTTGGCACAACAGCCGTAGTTATTTGATGATGAGTGAGTAATTTTCTAGCGCTTGTGTCCCTGCTGTTTTAGCATGCTCACAGCGCTCTCTCTGTTCTTAATTCTATTTTAAAGAAAAAAGTCTTTAAATGGTTCTTATATGACTTTTTATCATTTTTCAATGCCCGTCAAACATTGATGCAAACTGTTCCACAATTAGGCGCAATAGCTTCAAAGGAGTGCAGCCCTGTTTGACTTCTTTCTGTGTCCGTCCACACTGGGAACTCTTAGAAAGGACTGTGTTGAAGAGCGCGGGTTCTGTGAGGATAAATGTTTAGAAATCAGTTTTTGAAGATGTTCAGGTGCAGAGCTTTCTGTACAGCTATACGCCAGGGACAGAATTTTGTAGCCAATGCGCTCACTCACAGGAAGCCAGTGAAGACCTTTAAGAACTGGGTTGATGTGGTCAGATTTCTTTATCCGCGATACGATGCGTGCTACAGTATTTCGGACATTCTGGAATCTCTGAATTTGGTTTTGAGTTAAACCCCACAAACAACTGTTACAGTAATAAAATCTTGATTGGATTAGAGGTTCTGCCACGGCATTGGCAGTTCTCTTATTCAGTTGAGGACGCAGCTGACCCAGAGCTCTAAGATGACAAAAACAAGTCCTGACCAAAGAACTGATATGAGGGATCATAGTAAGTTTGCAGTCGATGTAGAAGCCAAGGTCTCTAATCATGATTGACAAGGAGATCTCAGAAGCACCAACTTTTATCGATGCGATAGAAACCTTCTGAATATTGGCTTTAGATCATCATTTAATTGAAGACTGTTTGATGTCATCCTTGATGGCAAGACTACAAGACACCAGTCCTCGACAGCTTGAACAGGAGCAGCACAGTCCAAAGGTTCAGAGTGGAAACACGTGTACAGGTCTGTGTCATCCGCAAATAATGTGCGGGCATATACCACAACTTCTGGCAAGCCGCTAGCGTACATGAAGAACAGAATAGGTCCTAAAACTGAGCCCTGTGGCACGCTATAGGTAAGGGCAGTGTCCATGGAAGATGCTTGATTCACTACAATACGCCGAGTCCTGTCAGTCAGATAAGAAGAAAACCAGCAAAGTGCAGGTCCAGAGATGTCGTCTCTTTCAGAGGTCTTAAAAGGAGAAGCTCATGGTCAATCACATCAAAAGCCCTCGTGGTCTCCTTTGTCAGCCTACATTTGTATGCCCTAGCCTAGTCTCCTTTGTCACCCCACAGTTGTTTGCCCTTGCTTGGTGTCCTTTGTCACCCAACAGTTGTTTGCCCCTGCTTGGTCTCATTTGTGATCCCACAGTTGTTTGCCCTTGCTTGCGGTTGCTGTGAGACTATTTCTGTTGACACCCTCTGTTTTGACTGTTTGACCATGGTGTCAATTGTTTATGTATTGGTAGCCCCAGGGGCTCTCATTGTTTATGTATTTATCGCCCCAGGGGCTCTTATTGTTTCTGTATTGGTAGCCCGGGGATCTTATTGTTTATGTATTGGTTAGCCCGGGGGCTCTTATTGTTTATGTATTGTAGCCCGGGGCTCTTATTGTTTATGTATTGTTAGCCCGGGGGCTCTTATTGTTTATGTATTGGTAGCCCCAGGGGATCTCATTGTTTATGTATTGGTAGCCCGGGGGCTCTTAATTTTTATGTATTGCTTAAATGTGCATTTGTTTTTAAACGCTATTCTATGCATAGGGGACTGGGTTCAAGCTCTGTGAACTAAATAAATAACTTTTTTTCCAAGCCTAAACATAATTTTTTACGCTATTTATTTTATTTGTTTCAATCTTTTGGTACGTTAATTACAGGCTATTACATGCTATTACATGCTACTACATGCTATTACATGCTATGCTAAAAAATTTTTTATAAAAGCTTAACAAATATTCCCTTTTATAGTATTTTTGGTTTAATAAAAATTCTTTTAAAAAATAAAATCCTTATATTTAAATACACATAAAGATCGAAAGTTAAATATTTTCTTGTATGTTTTTATATAATGGCAGCTGTTTATTCTTGCATGCCTTCAAAGTGACCTATGTGCGGAAGGTGAAGGAACATGTGAAACCGACAGACAAAGTGGCTAAACGCTCATTAAAATATATTTCAATGTTTATTCACGTCACTTCCGACAATCTATAATTGGAACGTTCCTCGCCGTCAAGTATAAATATTTATATATGCACTGTGTTTAACTATAGCATTGAGTACATTTGCCTGCGACTAAAGCGTTAAGTAAAACTTGTGTACGCCTGTGTGTGACTAAATCCATTCATTCAAATATATATATATACACCCGTGCGTGACTAAAGCATAAGGTCAAATATATATATACACCTGTGCGTGACTAAAGCATTAGGTCAAATATTATATATACACATGTGCGTGACTAAAGCATAAGGTCAAATATATATATACACCTGTGCGTGACTAAAGCATTAGGTCAAATATATATATACACCTGTGCGTGACTAAAGCATTAGGTCAAATATATATATACACCTGTGCGTGACTAAAGCATTAGGTCAAATATATATATACACCTGTGCGTGACTAAAGCATTAGGTCAAATATGTGTAAACCTGTGTGTCACTAAAGCGTTAAGTTAAAAATTGTAACCCTATGTGTGACTTAAGCAGGAGACTCATGTAACCATTTTATTCTAATTTCACAAGAGCCTTAAATTCAATACGCAACCTTGTTTCCCCATAATAATAAGTCCACTGCTAGCATTACACCCTGGCAAATGTTATCATTGGTTGAATTTTTTTTTTAGCCGGATGTACGATTCACATTATCCTTCCAGATCGTCAGATTTCTCGTGGTGGGTTCACAGGAGATTGATCCTAGAGCGCGTGGGCCGACCACGCAGACGGTCGTTCTGTTTCATCAACATGAGGAACACCTGCTCCAGCGTCGACTGCTGGACTCTGTAGCTGGCGAAGCCGTGGTCATCCTGCGCCTGCTGGAGAATGCCGAAGAGCTGTGACATGGGGATGTGCGTGTCTTGTATCTGGATGTGGACGTAGGCTTCCATCTGATTGAACACCTGTGTGGTTGGAGGTAAAATGCGATACAGGTGATGGGCGAATGTATAGTGAAATACAGGTGAGAAATGGACATTAATAAGAGAGCAGTGAGAAACGGTCATAAAATGAGAGAGAGGTGAGAAATGGACATAAAATGAAAGGGATGTGAGAAATGGCCATGAAATGAGAGACATGGGAGAAATGGCCATGAAATGAGAGACATGGGAGAAATGGCCATGAAATGAGAGACATGGGAGAAATGGCCATGAAATGAGAGATATGGTAGAAATAGCCATGAAATGAGAGACATGGGAGAAATGGCCATGAAATGAGAGACATGGGAGAAATGGCCATGAAATGAGAGACATGGGAGAAATGGCCATGAAATGAGAGACATGGGAGAAATGGCCATGAAATGAGAGACATGGGAGAAATGGCCATGAAATGAGAGACATGGGAGAAATGGCCATGAAATGAGAGACATGGGAGAAATGGCCATGAAATGAGAGACATGGGAGAAATGGCCATGAAATGTAAATGGCAATGAAATGGGACAGGGCGGGGGGGGGGGGGTGAGGGAGGCAGAAATAAATTGAGAGACACTTCAGAAATGGACATAAAGTGAAATACACGGAAGGAACTGACATTAAAAAAGAACTTGCGTGTATGTCAAGTTGGAAGTTGTATTTATGAACATAACTTGCACAAATGTACGCATAGACAACTTTCTGTTTCCAGATGCCTAGCGATTTTAGTCTTGGTGAGTCTCACTTCCTATCTCCCCTATTTTAGCGTTGGTTAGTCTTAAACCCTACCTCTGCTATTTTAATATTGGTTAATCTCCCCCCCCCCTCATCTTGTATGCATTTGATTTTATTTTATACTGTATCTTTTTTTTTTGTTGTGATATTAGTTGGTTGAACAGCTGACCTTAGAAGAGTTCAATGAGGGAGATAATGCCAAGAATATTTTTTTAAATGAGAAGGAAATCAAGAACCACAACCCAAGTTACGTTGTTATCACTTGGTATTGCAGTTATTAGCACATCGCCGAGACTTTGACTACAACACCATGTATGCGTGTGGAGATGGTATATTAGGACATGATGTGCAACCAACACCTAATCTCAACAGTGACATTCCTCTAACCTCAGCAGATTCTATCGTCCTTTTAATAAAGTCTATGGCGTGGTCCAGTGTGGTCACCACGCCGTTCTCGTCGATGGTTGCGTATAGGATGATGGTGTACCCTTGTCCGTACTTGTGCTTCAGGTGGTTAGGACTCCCGAGACACACGATTTGTCCTCGGACCAGGATGGCGACTCGCGTGCACAGTGCGTCACATTCTTCCATACTGAAGGCGTGACGATAAGAAAGGAAGAGGCATTAGCGCCACTAAACTTTGTGAAGACATATTAACGCTACTAAACTTTGTGATGATATATTAACGCTACTAAACTTTGTGATGATATATTAACGCTACTAAACTTTGTGAAGATATATGAACGCTAATAAACTTTGTGAAGACATATTAACGCTCTAAACTCTGTCAAGACATATCCACGCTACTAAACTTTGTCAAGATGCATCAACGCTACTAAACTTTGTTAAGATGCATCAAAACTATTTGAATGTCAAATGTTTATCGAGGAGTCTAGTGCTACTTTCCTTTGAACAAAACGGAAATTATGATATAATCTGGTTTTTAAGTCTAGAAATTAGAATCCATAGAGTCAATTTCAATTTAAAGACCTGTGCTCAGATGAATGGATTCATAATTGCTCTTCTTTTTTGCTTTTCAACTCCAAAATGGATCACATGCCTTTAACGATATCTTTCTACGCTTTCCGATCTCTTGCAGTCTTGTCTAACTCGTCCCCTTTCTTTCCGATCTTCACCTCACTCGTGTCTACCCCTATACAACATATGTTCTTGTTGTTTTTGGTACTCGCTGTCCTTATTACATTTAGCAAGGTTTTTTTAAGCGTACAAGTGAAGTTTGCTAGCTGTTCACCCCGATCCCTGTTAGCGTACATCTGAAGTTAACTAGATTCTCACCCATGATCCCTTTTTGTCGAGGTAAGTCTACACGTTTGTGTACACAAATGGGTAATAAGTAAATAATCTCAAAATGGGATACCTTACTAATGATTAAAATTTGAACTTTCTCTGGATATTATGGTTTGCCAATGATCAAGAACGAAATAATATCTATGTTTTATGTCTTTCAAATGATTAATAAATAAATTATCTCTATGTTTGATGCCTTTCTAACGATTACTATCTCAATAAGCCCAAGACATTCCACATTACCTAAGCGGCTAAGATCTAAGTGAAGAAAGAACCAATCGCTATTGCGCGTTATCTCTAAGATGAATTCATCAACCTGACCAAACAGTAGCCTGGCTCAACATTATATTCACTTCTCTGTGTTGTGTTGCAACTGACACGTCACCTTTGCGTCGTCATAAAGATCGTCCTTCCGGACCGTCGAATCATCTGCAGCAGCTCCCACAAAGATCTCCGCGAGATGGGATCCACGCCGGCAGTGGGCTCGTCCAGCATCAGGAACCTCGGGTTCCCAACAATGGCAATGCCCAGAGACAGTTTTCTCCGGCTGCCACCGCTGAGGACACGGAGAATATACAGTTCAATAGACAAGTGCCAGACTGTCTTGTGACCACCTTTCAAATGTGCAAGGTGCAACTCAATTTCCTTGAGGGTGGGGGCTTAAAGCCCCAATGAACACACATATGTATAGTAAATTCGATACCTTCCAGAATATATTGTTTTGCTCTGAACATGTTTTACGTTGTCATTGCAAAGATTGATATGTGGACACTATTATGTCGTCACTTATGTATGATAATATGTGGACGCTAATATATCTTTATGCAGGGTACTATGTGGACGCTAATATATCTTTATGTATGGTACTATGTGGACGCTAATATGTCTTCATGTGTGGTACTGTCAAGACGCTGATTTATCTTTATGTATGGAACTGTCTAGACCAGTGTTTCCCAACCTTTTTTGTGCCATGCCCCACCTTAGCATTTATAAAATTCTTATGCCCCCCCCCCCATGTATCATATAGATACTCTTAATATTCTAAACATAAGGTTGTTCACTGAAGATAATTAAAGGAGAGGTTTTAGGAAGACATCACTAGGAAACTGGTGCGGAAACATAGCAAGTAAATGTTCAAAACATAAAATGGAGATTTAAAATTAAAGTTCGAAATAATTTTAAGAAAGATTTTTCTACAGTTTAATTATTAATAATTATTTATTATTTGAATTTAGTGAGACGGTTGTGCTTGGTGCTTGCTGCAAAGAGATTTTATGTTAGGTTCCAACTAAGTTAGCTTCAGTCTCAAGTCTCCGTTAGGTTCCAACTAAGTTAGCTTCAGTCTCAAGTCTCCGTTAGGTTCCAACTAAGTTAGCTTCAGTCTCAAGTCTCCGTTAGGTTCCAACTAAGTTAGCTTCAGTCTCAAGTCTCCCCATTGTGTTGTGTCCAGCCGCTTTCAATTTTTTTTTTTTTTTTAATTTTCAGCAAATTATTTATGGCACTAAATCCACTTTCAGCTAAATATGAAGATGGAAACGGTAACAATATGGTTCCAACTAAGTTAGCTTCAGTTTCAAGTCTCCGTTAGGTTCCAACTAAGTTAGCTTCAGTCTCAAGTCTCCCCATTGTGTTGTGTCCCACCGCTTTCAATTTTTTTTTTTTTTTTAATTTTCAGCAAATTATTTATGGCACTAAATCCACTTTCAGCTAAATATGAAGATGGAAACGGTAACAATAGTTTTCTTGAACATTTGGTTGAATTTCGATATTCGATTTCTGTTTCCCCACAAAGCCGTGCCATCACTCCTTTTATATTAAATAAAGTTTAAACCGACTCCTCATTTTGCATGTCCGCCAGTTCTTCTTGATACTGCATATTTGAAGTATCAGAGAAATCCCCTAACATTAGCTTCATCATCCAAGTTGGAAAATCAATTTGTTTCAAATTAGAAACTCTTTCTTTTAAATCATTGATTGATTGATTGATTGATTGATTGATTGATTGATTGATTGATTGATTGGTTGATTGATTGATTGATTGATTGATTGATTGATTGATTGGTTGATTGATTGATTGATTGATTGATTGATTGATTGATTGATTGATTGATTGATTGATTGATTGGTTGATTGATTGATTGATTGATTGATTGATTCATTGATTGATTGATTGATTTGATATTTATATCGCGCTGGTATCCATGATACTTAAGCCTGCTCACTGTGCTCTGGTTTTCAAAAATCTATTTAAACAAAAAAGTTGTTAAATGTTTCTAAAATGATTTTTTATCATTTTCAATTCCCTTCAAAGATTGAGGCAAACTGTTCGATAATTTTGGCGCTAGTGCTTCACAAGAGCGCACTCCGTAAGACCTTTTTTCTGTGTTCATCCACACTAGGAACTCTCAGTAAGTACTGTGTTGAAGACCTCAGTCTCTTTAAGGATACATGTTTATAAATCAGTTCTTTAAGATATTCTGGTGCTGAGCCATCTATGAAGCTGTACGCCAGATAGAATGTTCATATGATCGACAATAACAATTATAGCTGTATCACAACCAGTCAATTCACATTTTTGGAGCCAATGAATCTTTTCAAAAAAAATTGTTTTAAATATTTTTCTGACATAATTCAATAAAGGTAATGAAACCAAGTATTGTTTCTGACATAACTCAATAAAGGTAATGAAACCAAATATTGTTTCTGACATAATTCAATAAAGGTAATGAAACCAAATATTTTTCTGACCTAATTCAATAAAGGTAATGAAACCAAATATTGTTTCTGACATAATTCAATAAAGGTAATGAAACCAAATATTTTCGCTGCTGCGTGAACAAGAGTTTTATTTGTTACCTGAAGTAGGTTTCTTAATATATTTAGTTTTTCAAAGATATCGGCTATATAACTCACAAATGTTTTATCATCGGTCTTTAACAACTACTTAAAAAAAATCGCAAGAGTATCAACACGTTTCTTAAATCTTTTCTAGCTATTCCCTTTCAAAAACCATCTTACTTGAGTATGAGGTAAATGTCTCTCATAATTTGCATTTTGCTTTTCACAATATAGCGTGAAGAAACGCTCAAATTTGACATTAGTTTTAATGGCATTGATACACTACATAACTAAATGAAGTACTTCAATAAGAACAGGCGAAATTTTTTTAGTTACCAAGTTTTCCCTATGAATTACACAATGCACAAGTAGCATTTCTGGAGTCAAATTTTTCATCAATTTTAAGCATCTATTTTACTCGCCCATCATATTTGGAGCACCATCTGCAAGCTGTTACATCTTCCTTTGGTATATTTTTTATATCTAAGTAATTTGTTTTTAGCTTATTATATATATCTTTTGCGGTATTGGTGTTTTCTAATGATGTACATAACAACATGTCGTCAGCAAAATATCCTTTATCAATATCTCCGACGTAAGTTATCATTACAGCCTCACTGTCTCTCAAAGTATTTTCCCCCCATGTGCACTGAGAATTTTCTTGCTTCCAGCTTTTCAAAAAGTTTCAATGTCTTCACTCATGTCGTCTATTCTTCTCCTAGCAGTATTGTTACTGAGTGGCGTAGCTGTCTCGTCTTTGTTATCTTTTTTTCCAGAACCGTTTAAAAAAATGCTGATATTGATGGCTTGATTCAATTCATTCTTAGATTTAGCGATGAGTGAGGAAATTTCCTAACTAGCCTCAAGAGTACGAGTGACAGTAGCAATATGAGCAGTAAATAGAGACTTTAATATTAGTCTTTTTTTTCAAAATTTCTCCTTTAAGATTGAAAGTAATTCAGATCCGACTTAATATTTTAGAATTGCCCCCACTCCAAAATCGAATTGCCCCCCCCCCCTGTGGGGGCGGGGACCCCATGTAGGGAAACACCGGTCTAGACGCTAATGTGTCTTTATGTGTGTTACTGTGTAGTCGCTACCAGGTCGTTGTATGTGTTGCTATGAGGACGTGAATATGTTATTGTATAAGGAAATGTGTAGACGCTACCAAGTCGTGATATGTGTTAAAGGCTAACATGTTGTCATATGTGGTACTGTATAAATGCTCCCAAGTCGTTATGTGCTGTACAGTATAAAAGCTAGCATGTTCTTATATGCGGTACTGTATAAAGTTTACCAAGTCGTTATATGTGGTACCATATCAACGCTTACATGATGTTTGTATGCGACAACTTACGGATACCCAACAAGTCCTGTTCAAATTGTTTCCCCTGACCTGTACTTCCTGATAATGATGTCGTCGGTCGGGTCAAGGTTGACAAAGGCCATGACCTTCTTGGCGATGGCTTTCAGCTGCCCTTCGGGTATGCCCCTGAGGCGTCCGTACAGGTGCAGCGTCTCCTGCCCCGTCAGCAGCTCGTTCAGGGCATTGCGCTGTGGGCAGTAGCCCATCTTGGACTGAATCTGTCCAGATAAAGTTAAAGACGCTGACATTTGTGTTGTTCCTATAGGGGCAAGGTAATAAAATGGAACATCCAAATGTAAAACCTAATGGCTCCCTGCTGCAAGGTACTATCAAATGTTATTGTTTTTATCAATCATGGGTCACTACCACAATGTACAACCAAATGTTGATGGTTTTTATCAATCATGGGTCACTGCCACAATGTACATCCAAATGTTGATGGCTTTTATCAAACATAGGTCACTATCACAATGCACTACCTACTGTTGATGGTGTTTATTACTCATAATACACTACAACAATGTACTATGATACCCAATGTTGATGGGTTTATCAAACATTTCCCACTACCTCAATTTACTACCTACTGTGGTAGGTTTTTATCAATCACAGCTCACTATCACAATGAACTACCTACTGTTGATAGATCTTATCAATCACAGCTCACTACCACAATGTACTACCTACTGTTGATAGGTTTTTATCAATCACAGCTCACTACCACAATGTACTACCTACTGTTGATAGGTTTTTATCAATCACAGCTCACTACCACAATGTAAACCTTATTATCAATGACAAACCAAAACAACGATGTCATCGGTTTATGATTGGCCACAGCTTTGAAACTTCCCAACATCCAGAAATTATAATGTACCAAATAGGTTTTATTTACGTATAGACTACAAAAATAAAATATCTCGAGCAACGATATCAGTTTGATAGAAGTCGGTCTCACTTTTTTCAAATTCCACTTGATGTTGATACCCTCCAGGTAAATGTCCCCCTCTGTCAGACTCAGGTGGCCAGTCAACATGTTGAAAATGGTGGTTTTTCCCGCGCCGTTTTGTCCCAGCATGCCGAAGCACTGCTTCCGCCCCACTCCAAGACTGGTGGGCTTCAGTGCCTGCACCTGACTGCACAGACCCGTCCCAAAGCTCCTGCTCACCTTGACGAATAAGACCGCGTCTGGGGAGGGAATTTATTGGAACCATTTCTGACACCTCACTACTGAAGGCGAGAGGTTTAAGAATAACAAAAGTGCACTATTATGTGTTAACTTCCGTCTTGAGGTTATCTTTTTCAGATCGTTTTATTTCACTAATTCCCAGAGGGGGGGGGGGGGGGAATGTTTATGGAATTTTAAGCAAAGTTAAGCTCATTTTTTTTCTCTCCATTATAAAGGTAAACTTTGATTCAAAGTATTGTAAAAAGGCGCTACTGCATTCAAGAAGGTCTATCATTGATTATCGTAACCCGAGCTGTGTCCTGCTTTCATAAAGATCTATGATTGATTGTCGTAAAGAAGCAGTCTGCCGACTAGTTTCACAAAGATCTATGATTGATTGTCGTAAAGAAGCAGTTTCCTACTATTTTCAAAAAGATCTATGATTGATTGTCGTAAAGAAGCAGAATCCTACTATTTTCAAAAAAGATCTATGATCGATTGTCGTAAAGAAGCCAGTATGCCTACTATTTTCACAAAGATCTGTGATGGAGGTTTCTTCAATCCGACGCTGCTCTTTGGCTACGTCACTGTCCCCTTGTTTGAACTTCTCACTAAGCGCCGTCTTGTCACCGTTAGGCACAGGACTCTCGGCCACGACTTTTCTCTTCATGTTTGCGGAGCAGTTAAAGTAATACCTGTATAGAGACATAGAGGTGACACTAGCATTAGCTGAAAGATCGCAGCAGACATAGAGGTAACACTAGCATTAGCTGAAAGATCGCAGCAGACATAGAGGT